GCTAGTACATGGGTTTGAAGATTTTTACCAATTTCTCGGCATTTAATTAATTAGAAATTTCGAATCTCCCCCTAATGCCGAGAAAAGATCTTATAATGCAACCAACATCATTGTTGATTTCTCATTATGGGATATAGCTAGAAGGGTTGCATACTAAAAATAATTGAACGCAGATAGGGAAATGCATCATGTACTAGCGTATGTGATATGTAGTGGATCTGGATATTGGTTATTCAATTTTTGAAGGTCCCCACAAAAAATATTTCCTCCAAAAATGCTTAATTTGCTTTCCGAACAAAGCTCTATTAAGATTTAGAGCTTTGGTTAAAAAATATGATATTATTTATCTTAAATATTTGTTTCATGAAAAATAGAAAAACAAGTGGAGTACTCAACATACTATGTAGTATGGAGTGAACTAATCAAGATAACATATCATAATTTCGTCTACGGATCATGTTTTCTATCAATTTGGATTCATGACAAATATTCTTTTTGACAATTTGCCATAGTAAAATATCACAGTGATATACACATGCATACAATTGCCAATATAAGAGAATTATAAAATATTGTCTTTTGAGAAAAAAAAACACTTATCTGGTTTGTTTCAGAATACTGTTTGACAATTGTATGGCCATCGCATGATCTCTTCTAATGTTGGTAATTGCCAATGTTGCCTCTTACATGTTTGATAAGGATAATCAAACTATCATAGATTGTTATTACGATAAACATTGCAATCAAAATGAAATGTGCCAATTATTAATCTTGGAGTCTTTATGAACGTACATGACTCCAATTTCGCAATATAGTTTCTTAAACAAATTGTCATAGTAAAATAATGCACATGTTATCTTCAAAAGAAAAACCTTATCTAGGCTCATCCAGGGTGTTATGCTAGTAAAACATAGAGTACAATCAGCTCATTTTCAAATAAATTGTATAACATAATCACAATTTGATGTCTAAGCATATTCAATAATTTGAACGAAAAATATAATATTTACCAAACCAAATTGCAGGCCCAAGACATAACAATAACATGATCGAATCATTATTGATCTTATAGTTATTTAAAAAACAGGCCCAAAAAGATTAATCCAAATACTTTAAATAAGCCTAAGGACCCAAAAGCAATATATATTATTTTTAAAAGATATAGCCCAAAAAAAAAACAAATTGGGCCAGTTGTGGTCTTAAAAAAAACACACAGATGGGGCCAAGAGGTCCAAAACTTGGGTTCAGCGATGAAACATTGAAACCATATAAGTTTCATCAGTTTTCACGCGGCCAGACAAGAGAGGGAGGGAGACGCGTAGAGGTGAGAGGTCGCCGACCGAAGCCATCACCATCGCTTGCCACTATCACGGCGCCGACCAGACCGGAGGTCTCCTGCGTCGCCATCGCCGCAAAGCATCAAACCTCCGCCGATCGTTACCCCAGAACCACCGATCGATGGTGCAGATCGGAAAAAAAAATGAGGTCGATCAGCCAAGAAACCCACCGCATCAACCGAGACGCGCCGCCATCGCTCTGCCGGAGCTTCACGTCGTGACCCTCTGCTGGAGTGCCAGCTCGTAAAAAACGTACAGGTTTCGTTTTGTATTATTTCCGAAAAACAGATCGGAAATTTTGCACCTTTCTTTTTTTTTCGAAATCTATACATGTTCGAAAAATAATGATAAATGTTTCAAAAAAATTTACACAATCTGGGAAATATTTTGAAATATTTCGTCAAGGCCAAAATGTGAACATGTGATCTATCCCTTTTTCAAAAGAAGTCTTGTGTTTTTCGAAAAAAGGTGTATATATCGAATTTTAAGTTTTCGAAAAACATGTATATGTGTGAGAGAGAAAAAAACTCAGAACATTTTCATACTCATAATAATTTCAGAAGATATCGCATATATATTTGTTCATATACATATACAGAGAATGTATAAATAAATTCTTTCCAAAAACACAATTATATTTCTTTTTTTCAAAAAAGATTGTACGAACTGAATACATACAGAAAATATTTATATATATAACAGCATATATAAATATTCACAATTTACCAATGCAAATTGCATAAGCATATATATATTCCATAATGTAAACATGCAATTTATTGGCAATTTTAACAAAATAGATATACCGTTCACCGAAGACTCGAAGAGCATGCTGATAACGTGTTGTAATGTTGTTGTGTTGTTTGTGCCGTTGGCCATTAGCTCCTAATCGGTGAATTGTAGGATTGGATCAATATAGATAAACGTAAATGTACAAGACAAAGAGAAGTAGAACAAGAGACAGGGAGAGTCATTCCATTGCACAAGTCCACTCAATACAATGTTACAACAAGCATATATAATGTACAAATAATAATGACGATACTAATGATGACCGTTATAACCGTTATGTATTGAATGCCCATAATGTCCACCATAATAATATATTTATAACAATTTTAATGTAATGTGCTTTCAATTTGATTACCCATATAAAAATCTAAAAATTATTTTTGAATCAGCATCCACAATGTAAGGAAAATTCTAATTCATAATATAATTTGCTGGTTCTATTACATATAAGTTCGACAAATTATATCGTGGACTTTGGTCCAATACAAAGAATTTGACTTCATAATACACAGAATTTATGTTCATAAACACGATATAATGAACTTAAATTATGTGCATTATGAACATAAATTTTGTGTATTATGTTAAGTATTTATGTGCACTCATTTATAGAATATACAGAATTAATGTTCATAATACACATAATTTATGTTCATTATATCGTATTTATGTGTATGTGTATTATGAACATAAATTCTGTGTATTGGATCAGTATTCACAGTGCGGTCCACGATATAACGATTGATATAAGTTCATTTGTGGCGTGATGGACTCTATTGCAATACTGGACGAGTCCAACCTGTAATAAAAATTAAATTTGGGTCAAAGTACCTATGAAATTCATGTACTATAGTGTTTTGTTTAATTTAGTCCTTGTATCTTTATTTTGTTCAATTTAATCCTACTTTAAAAAGTGATAAAATTAAGAACAATTGTCCAAATCTCATTACGAACATGGTCGTAATTATTTATTTTGGACATACTAATTTAATATATTGGTGGTAAAAATAATAAATTTTAAATATTTATAAAGTAATATATGTGTAGGAATATAAATATCATCAGCGCCACATAACCTAAGTTAACGATAATATTAACATCGTCAACTATTGTCCTTAATTGCACCATTTTTGAAAGTACAAGGACTAAATTGAACAAAATAAAAGTATAAGGATTAAATTGAACAAAACGCTATATTACAGGGACCTCGTCATAGGTACTTTAACGAATAAATTTGTGAATACAAGCCCTTATCAATATAGTTGGATAGGGAAAATTCTACTGTGGACCATGGTTCATGAAGTAAGTATCTAATTACACTTTAGTTTCATTTGATAATATTGCTCTATTTTTCAATTTAATTTGTATTATTTTAATTCTACTATAATTTCATTTGACAATATACATTATTGTATGAGCTCTACTTTGTAGTTCATTTTTCATATACACTAGTTTAATTATAATAATGCTAAAGTATTATTTTAAAGGAAAAGGATCAAATAGGCCCCTGAACTTTATTTGAAAGTGCAATTAAGCCCTTAAACTCTAAAAGGTGCAATTAAACCCTTAAACTTACCATTTTAGTGCATCCAAGTCCAATTATCGATAATTTACCTGAAATAGCCAGTCACCAAAATTCCGGCGACAATTTCGATTTAAAAAAAAAAAAAAAAAAAAAAAAAAAAAAGGCGTCGGTCGTAAGATTTTGGTCGTTTGGTCGTCTTCCACTGGAGAAGACGACCAGACCAGTCGTCTTCTCCATTTGGAGAATACAACTGTCTGGTTGCCTTCTCCAGTGGAGAAGACGACCAGATCCACGGGAGAAGGCGACCGTCTGGTCTTCTCCAATGGAGAAAGTGGTCGTCTGGTCGTCTTCTCCAGTGGAAGACAATCAGACAGCCGGAATCCCGCGACCATCGTCAAATTTTTTTTTTTAATTCAAAGAATCGTCGAAATTTTCGTCAAAATTGTCGTTGAAATCTTGATGACAGGTTATTTCAGGTAAATTATCAGCAATTGGATTTGGATGCACTAAAATGGTAAGTTTAAGGGTTTAATTGCCATTTTTGAAGTTCAAGGGCCTAATTGTACTTTCTAATAAACTTTAAGTGCCTATTTGACTCTTTTCCCTCATTCTAATTACACTCCATGTTCATTTGACTGGATTTTAGTTTCATTTTCTGTTCATTTGACAATATATATTATTGTATAGCTCTGAATTTTATTACTGACTCTGTTAGAATGTAGTATCTATTCAAAAGTACTTTCTCAACTTACTGAAGCACAAAGAGTCAATATTTTCTTTGCTGAGACTGGAACCAACAACCTCTCATATGGGAGAGCAACTTGGTGTCACTAGATTAGAAAGTCCTTGGCCAAACAATAAATCTAAATAAAAAAAATTAGAGTTAATACCAGTTGTGGTCCTCCGAGTATAGTGATACCGCCATGTATAGTCCTAAACTTTCAATTTAACCACACGTGGTCTTTCAACTTTCAAATTTAACCAGCCGTGGTCCTTCCCTTAGTTTACGTAAGAGCAAAGTTAGGACCATGTTTAATTAGGAAATTGAAAATTGAAAGGCCATGGGTGGTTAACTTAAAAGTTGAAGGACCATGAAGTGGTTAAATTGAAAAGTTGAAGGACCACAGGTGATTAAATTAAAAGTTTAGAATTAAACATGACAGTATCACTATACTTGGAGGACCCTGGCTGGTATTAACTCTAAAAAATTACTATAGATCTAACATAAACCAAACTTGTATGATTCACCATTCCTTTGGTGTCATTTTCTTCTTTTACCATCAAGATAAAAGAATTTGTTATTTAAAAAAAAAAAAAATGTTTTCCTATCAGAATCGACAGCAATCAAACATAAGAATCCCCTTGATATATGGTAGTACTTGGTATAACAATTCATGCATTAGTTCTATTTTGAGATAAACGTAATTGCCACAATAGACATAAAACAGTCCACGTCTACAATATCATCATATGTAATCAATATATATATTTCAGGAATACGGAGTCGAGAATCTAAGTTGTTGCAAAATGGGAATGAAGGTAGGGTAGGTATGTATATGAATAATATGATTGATGAGTTGAGCAAATTAAATCAGCATTTTAGTTCTGCTGCAAATCTTGTTTTATGAAGGAGATTGCAGTGGAAACTAATTCACTCAGATTCCACTGCGACGTGTAGAAGTGGTCAGCTCCTTCCACTATATGCAATTTGTGGTTTGGTATAGCCTGGTCGAACTCAAATGCACCTCCAATGGGATTCACCTCATCATTGGATCCATGAATGGTCAATACCCTGCACAACATACACAAACAAATTCAACTCTCATCACAACGCACGAGCTATGGTTACTGGTTCAGTAGACAGTATTTAGGAGAAGATCAGAAGTACAGAAAAATATGTTTACTTGTGTACATATATGTTCTGACCTGCAGGCTTTGTCGATCTCACAACATGCGTCGTGCATGTTAGGATTTAGCAGCGCATTCGTTAGGCATAACTCAAGAAAACGGTACACAACTTTTCCTACAAAAGAAAAAAATTATATATATCAGAGACGACCAGAACCAAGTTAAGTTGGTCAGGTTATTGAATTGGCTTGATAAATAGCTACAAGGTTCCTTCCAAGTTTAGCTCTCCGTGAAAGCGACTGCCTATTGGCCTTCTTGATTTGAGTAGGCTGATAAGTTATAGACAACCTAAACTGATTTACCAGGTCAAACCGTGGTTTACTCAGTCGAGAGAATACTTGGGGTAATAACTAACTGTGGATTAGTGAACATTATGCAAATTGAGAACAATTGCGGGCTTTAATTTGCTGTCCACCATAGATGCAGATGAGACGACAAACCTTGTGCGTTTCTGACATCTACGAATCCATCCTTCTTGATTCTTTCCATGAATTCCTCTGTAAGGCCTCCAAGGAAATCAAAACAACCAGAAACATTGACCAGTGTATGAACATCATGATACATTGAAGCATACAGGAGCACAACACTCCCTCCTGCAACAATTTAGGCAACCCGGCCTATTATATATGCTATAATGTTCTATATATGAACAAATTAAAACCAATAACACAATTTGACCACACCTTTACTATGTCCAAGAATGGCAGCTATTTTGCGGTTTTGCCCAACAAAGTGTTGGACAACACAACGCAAATCCTCCGCCTGTCTCTGACAGCAAACCATGAATACCCCTTCACTTTCCCTGCAAACCATTTCATAATACACAACTCAATTATATGTATGAAAGAAGGTAACTTTTGGGTGACAAAAGCAGAGAGAAATTAGGGGCGTTTCAGGTAATTTTAAATTACTTAGGTAATCTGAGTCTGATAATGTTATATTACATTATTTAGTTAATTATGAGATTACTTCGTAATGTTAGATTACCTCAAAGCTAATATGACAGTAATGTGATTACTACCATTTTCTTAGATAATCTTAGATTACCTTGAATTATTCCAACTTTTCCCTTGTTAACTAATCCTTATATATCAAGACTATGTAGTCTAATGGTACCGGGTTGGACTTCCATTTGGAAGATTATGAGTTCAAGCCTCAGTGGAGAGAAAGTATATGAACAGATACTTCAATGTAATAGAGCCAGTAGCTTTAAAAAAAACTAATCCTTATATAAACATAATATGTTCATATAATCAAATACACATGTGTGTATATTTATATATTTAATTAAGAATTGATATACATTCATACATATAAAAATAAGTACACACATCCAGGAGATCATAGAACTGAGAACCATCCCGCGCGCGCCACGTGTCCAGATCAATGAATCGGATGCAATTTTAAAAAAACAAAGCGGTGGTATTTTTGTAAATAACTCAAACTTTAGTGCATGTAAATGTGTTATATGTGCAAGTAGTTAGTGCACCTTTGCAAGTAAAAAGTGCATGTAAAATCATTTACAAGTGCACCTACTTTCACCTGCAAATGCATGTAATTTTGTCGTGTTAACATCCGTGCAACTATTTATAACTATATATAGGTGCACCTAGTTATAACGTGAGGTGCACTTAGTTTTGATGCTCAGTATAAATTTTACTTGCACCTGTAATACATTTTACCTGCACTTATAATTCATTTTACATGCACAAAGGTGCATTATATAAAACTGTTACTTGCACTTGTAATACATTTTACTTGCACTTCGATGTTCAATTATTTACGAAAATGCCACCGCATTTTTTAAAAATCCGAATTTCTCATCCCTTAGATCTGGAAACGTGCCGCGTGCTAGATGGTTCTCAGTTCTCTCCCGAGCGGCCATTCGCATGAGAGTGTGCCCTTATATATATATATATATATATATATATATATATATATATATATATATATATATTATTGAGGTCATTATAGTGAACTGATCCATTTAACTTAAAATATAATCAAACAAAGTAATATTATATTCTACAATCCAAACCAAAACACAAGATAATTTTATATTCCCGATTCCGTGAATCAAACGCCCCCTTAAAGTTAAACTTCTTCATGCAGTTTACAACACATATATACCATAGCATTGAATAGATCGAGTAGAATGTTACCCGTTACCAGCGAAATCAAACCGAAATGCACTTATTCCTTCTGCCTCCAGCGCAGCAGCTAGGCTCACCATTATCCTATCATTCTACAGATCGAAAATGTAAATATATGTATAAATATGAGTCAATCAATAATGAAAAAAGCCATTCAAAATCTCAGCCAAACCAGTCAGACTATTGATTTAGTAACCATAAAGTTACAAATTCGAATCTTATAAGCAGTTTATTGACCTTCTTGGTTTTAGGCAGTCACACTGTTGGAAATTATGGAATTTACAATCACCTGAAAGTGATCTTAAATCAATTCAAAAGCAAAAAGTGGTCAAAATTGCAACAAAAATTTTTCCGGATACTAAAAGTGATCGAAACAAGACTTTCGACTAGGGGTGATCACAGTTTGGTTCGAACCGTAACCGTGCACTATACAATCAAAACCGGAACCAAAACTGAACCGTCCGTACGGTTTCGATTCTGATTCTTAACCGGAACCTTATATGTTTTGATAATTAAGAAACCAGAACCGCCGATTTTAGTTCCAAACCGTAAAATTCTAAAAATAATAATAATAATAATAAAATAAAAAAACTTGCCAAAGCACAAAGGCCAGTAGGAAAATTTTTTTGGCTTCATATTTGAAACCAAAAAAATAAAGTGGCCAGTAGGCCATTGACTCAGTGGCCTACTGGCCACTTTCGCAGTTTCGCCAGTTGGCCTGGCGCAAAGGCCAAGCCTTGGCCTTTGCGCCAGGCTTTGCTGGCATGTAACAAAAACATAACAATACTTATGCTGTGCAACTGTATAGTGCACACGGTTGTAAAACGACGTCGTTTTGATTATAAATGTGTGTCTCGTCTAAAAGAAAATTAGTTTTGATTTTTCTTAATAGTATTATTGTGGATATATAGTTATAAATTTGTAGATATATAGTTATAAATTTATGGATATTCAGTTCATTCATTGTGGATATTTAGTTCATTCATTCTGGATTTTGTGTTATTCGTTCACTGTGGATATATAGTTATGAATTTGTGGATGTATAGGTATGAATTTGTGGATATATAATTATGAATTTGTGAATATATGATTCAAATTATGCACAAAAAAAAATGCTATTGCCGGGAATCGAACCTGAATTTTTTTTTTAAGTGGGACGCCGTCGTTTTTGCAACCGTGTGCACCATACATGGTGCACACGGTTGTACGGCATAATTTGCGAAAGCATAACAGAAATTTTATTAAAATAAAAAATAAAAAAAATCAACCGGCAGTTCTAACCGGAACTGTCGGTTCGACCATTTTTGGAACCGGAACTGAAATCGTGGTCATGCCTACTTTCGACTTGATTTAAGATTATTTTCAGGTGGTCGAAAATTTCATAATTTCCAGCCGTGTCAGTCAGCTATGGACAATTTAGGCTAAACTAGGTTACAAGAAGAGGGGGTTTACATTTAACTGGTGCCCTCGTATAGCGGCTACAGATTTGACTCATCACTCAACAAATACAAACATAAAGTATCTTAGAAGAGATTTACTCGTACTCTCGAATAGCAGCTACAGGTTTTCGTCCACAGTCCTCACTCAAACAGACATTACTGGAAATTATGGAATTTCCGACCACCTGAAAATGATCTTAAATCAAGTCGAAAGCCTTGTTCCGACCACTTTTGGTATCCGGAAAAACCTTTGTTGCTATTTCTGACCACTTTTTGGACTTTTTGGTATCAACTTAATTTAAGATCATTTTCAGGTGGTCGGAAATTTCATAATTTTCAATAGTGAGACACCCAAAAATACAGACATAAAGCAGTGATATATGTCCAAAGTGGAATAGCAAACCAAACTTACCTTTGTGCATAGGAAACCATGACACAACACCACAATATCCGGAGATCCAGTTTCATGCAGTATACCCACCAGCTTCTCATTATATTTGTTTTGTATGGTGATTTTCTTCTGTGTAATCCCTGAAGCATTACAACATATATGCTCATCAGTAATTATAATATAATTAACGGGCAGGGAAGATGACTATCAGAATTTAATTATGCATAAGTAACATGAGAAAAGCAATCATCTTTGTTATATATATATATATATATATATATATATATATATATATATATATATATATATATATATATATGCATGTAAGTGGAAAATGTTAAAATCCCTGAATTATCATCCAATAATTGGAAAGAAAAAGGATCGATTTTGTTGATGTCTTTATGAATAAAGAAAGCAACAAGATTGAGTAGTGATTGTGAGAATTGCTCTCTGATCTTCTCACCTGGGTTTGAAGCCATATATATATATATATATGTTGAAGATTGAGTTGGTGTCGATGTTGTGGGTTGCTTAAGGTGTGAAACGAACCTGGGAAGTTGGGAAGAATGATCGAGCTGAGCTGAGGTTTCTTGGTGACGATAAGATTTGGGGATAAATACAGAGAACAAAGTTTCAATGAAGAACGTAACGTAATATATATGGCATGCCGTGAAGCTCTTCTTAGTTGAAATAAGGCAATGTTAGTGGGGCTCACTTGGAGTTAGATTGCGGTCTATTCATATGTTGGTATAATCTGAATGCCGTCAATTATTGTCATTCATTTCAACCAAATGGCTCATCTTCTTGTTAGAACATTTGGCTCTCAGTCTGACCTATCCGTTTGGAAGTATGATCCTCCTTGCAATCATCATTTACTATCGTAATAAGTAGTTCTTTTTTTTTTTTTAAATTCAGATGAAGAAGAGGATGAAAATGAAGCACGTTTTGTTCAATTGTTGTACCATGGAACAGATTTATATTACACTGTGAATTAGATTTTAAAAATTATATTTCTATAGTTAACACATTTGTATCATAACAGATAATTACAGACACATAAATTGTTACTGTAGAATGTAAATACATAATGTAGGTTCACATGTATCAGCAGTTAACATCATAGTTTGTGCTTACCTTAAAAAGTTGAAGTGTTTATAATAATTACCATGTAGCGTGCCTTTAAATTAATTTATAAGTACAAAATTTAAAAATTATTTTTAAATAACATCCATAATGCAAGGTAAACTCTGATTTATGGTGTAATTTCACTAATTTGTTGGTTCTATTACATATAAGTTCATTTGTGGGCAGACGGACTCTGTTGCAATACTGGACCAGTCAAACATGTAACTAAAAAAATTAAATTTGTGAATATATATAGCAATACTAGCCCTTATCAATATACCTAGATAAAGCAATCGGACTAAATTGATTTGGCAATTGATTACAAGACAGAATTTACTCAGTAGACACTTCAATAGTAACTACGGATCGTTTTGTCATTTAAATATAACTGGATTACTGGATAGTAATAAAAGATTTGGATTCTTTTACCAATAAATCTAAATAAAAAATTACAATAAATCTAACATAAACCAATCTTATATAGTTATATGATTCACCATTCCTTTGGCAATCGTTATATCGGGCATCAGGGCGCACCATGCATTATGCGCTTTGCTTCAAAACGACGTCATTTTTATAAGTTGTATAGGGATTTGACGATGTCCAATCCCGTTACAGTTTTTTTTTTTTTTAAACATTTGTGTTTATGTGTATTCTGTTAAGAGTTTCTATGTATTATGTTAAGAGTTTTCGTGTATTATGTAAAGAGTTACTGTGTATTATGTTAAGAGTTTATGTGTATTATGTATTGAGTTTATGTGTATTATGTATTATCTTAGATTATGTGTATTATGTTAGGAATTTATGTGTATTCTACTATGCAATTTTATACATCCGAATCAGAGATTTTTTTTTTTTTTTAGAATTAACAGCAAAAACAGAAAACGACATCGTTTTGACCAACGCGCACAATGCATTGTGCACCCTGGTGCACGATATAATTTGCAAGAAAATAATGGTCAACGGATATTGATTTCTGGTCAAAAAGAAAATAAACTCATTTTTTCGAAAAATAATTTTTCTTTTTTTTTAAAGTTATTTTTCAGAAAATGCAAAATAACTTTTTTCATGTTCTCCATCTTCATGTTATATATGAAAATATTTTATTATTTTGTAAATGACAAAAAATCAAATCCTTAACATTGTCTACAAAAATTTTAGACTATTGAGTGCAAATTACCTTCCTAACTACCCAATTGACCGAGTGTTCCAAATTCACGCTGAGTCAAGGCAACCCCTCCAGAAAACTACTCCTAGTTACTAGAACCATCAAGTCCAATAATGAATTATGAACACCTTAAGTTGATTTATTTCTTTGTGATCCTTTGTTAACTAAGACTACATGATAAATTTCCCTTAGAGCATATCTTTTAATAACAGTTATAGACTTTCTTGTAAATTAATGTATTATATTTTGGTATATATTTATTTTATTATATTGTATATTTGTATAAGTGTATTACTACAAATTAAAGTAAGCTAAAATAAAAATGTGAATCTATGGTGGGTTCACGGTTATTCCTTTCTTACTAGAAGGCAAATTATATCGTGCGCTCTGGACCAAATTCCGTTTCTATTGTTAATTACTAAAAAAAAAATTATTTCGTATATACAGAAATGTATAGTAGAATACACAAAAACTTATAATATAATACACATATATAATCTAACATAATACATATACATATAAACTCTTAACATAAAACACATAAACACAAGTGTTTAAAAAAAAACTGCAACAGGATTGGACGGACGGAACAGTATTCGTCGCGTCAACTCCTCACCAACTTAACCGAAACGACGTCATTTTGAACATGGGCGCACAATGCATTGTGCGCCCTGGTGCACGATATAATAATTGTTATTTTTCCCTCTTGTCAAACACTCACTATATATACATCACATGCATGTGGATTCACATTTCACCAGTTTGAAAACTCAAAAAATAATTTCTAAAAATTATTATATTGTGCACCAGGGCGCATAATGACATCATTTCGGTTAAGTTGGTGAGGAGTTGACGCGACGAACACTGTTCCGTCCGTCCAATCCTGTTGCAGTTTTTTTTTTAAACACTTGTGTTTATGTGTATTATGTTAACAGTTTATGTGTATTATGTATTATGTTAGATTATGTGTATTATGTTAGAAGTTTATGTGTATTCTACTATACAATTCTATACCTCTAAAACATAATTTTTTTTTAATTTTTAGAATTAACAACAGAAACGGGAAACAACGTCATTTTGGTCAAGACGCCCTGGTGCACGATATAATGTGTCTTCCTTCGGTGTCAGTTTCTTCTTTTACCATCAGATAAAAGAATTTGTTAAAACCAAAAACAAAAACAAAAAAAAAAACAAAAAAAAAAAACAAAACAAAAAAAACAAAAAACAAAAACAAAAAAAAAAAAACAAACAAACAAACAAAACAAAAGAAAAACTCAATTTGTTTTCATAGCAGAGTCGACCACAACCAACCTCAATTATATATGACAAAGATGTATATCAATTAATTTTTATATGTAATTAAAATTAAAATTAATTATGATATTAAATTAACAATTAAAACGTTTAGTTATAAATTCTAGAGTTAATTCCACCAGAGGTCCCTTGTCTTTGGTGACAATTTCGAATTTAGTTCCAGATTATTGTTTTCTTGACACTTTTAGTCTTTCACGTGACTTTTCCTATTTTTAGTAAGGGTATTTTTGTCTTTTCATATTTTTCTTTTGTTATTTTTCAGGTTTCAACCAATTTAATTGGTTTAAGACTTACTAAAAACCAATTGAAAAATATGGTTACTAAAAAAATCAGAGGTTACCTAAAGTTCTAAACCAATTAAATCGGTTGAAACCATAAAAATAACAAAAAAAATATGAAAACACAAAAATGCCCTTACTAAAAATAGAAAAAGTCATGAAAAGGACGAAAAGTGTCCAAAAAATATTAGTATAGGATGTTAAATGGCAAAAACAATAGTCTGAAACTAAATTTGAAATTGTCACCAAAGACAATGGACCTCTGATGGAATTAACTCTAAATTCTAATAACGCACAAATGTAAGATTTTTATTTATTTATGGAAAAAGGGTCAAATAGGTCCCAAAACTTCACACCAAAAATCAATTAAGCACCTAAACTTTTAAAAAATGCAATTAAACCCTCAAACATGTCAAATTGAGGCAATGAAGCCCAAGAACCAATAAATAACCTGTTATTACATGTCATTTCAGTTCAGGCGATAATCTGTCGAAGTTCAAGCAATAATTCGACGGCCGGCGATGGTCGAACCGTCGCCGGTCGCCTTCTCCGACGGAAGGCGACCAACTGGTCACAGTTAGGGGCCTATTTGACTATTTTTCATTTATTTATTATAGCATTCTTTCTATTCCCACATATATAGGGATGACCATGGTTTGGTTCAAACCAGAAAGTTAGAACTGAACCGTGCACTATGCTAACAAACTAAATCAAAACCAGAATCCAAAGGTTCCGATTAAGGTTTGTAAAATTCTAGAACCAAAACTACCTGTTTCAGTTCGGAACCAGACGATTCCGGTTCAAGAACCGTTTTAAAAAAATGCCCACTGGCCACAGCTTAGTGGCAATGTTGCAAAAAACGTTAGGCGCCAATTTTATTTATTTTTTTTAAAAAAAAAATTAATTAAAAATAAAATTAAAAATTAAAAATTTTCAAAAGTTAGTAATAAAACATAAGGTTTCCATAATTATTTCTTAGAAACTATTTACGAAAGTGATTGTAAAATTGTTCAAAAGATTTTTTAAATCATCTAATCTAAATAGTAAAAATAACACTAAAATTAAGAGCTAAAGAAGCATTTTTTTGAGAAATTAGTGGACCAAACCGCATTTGGCGGTGTATAGATCTCAAAAAAATAAGCGATTTGAAAAAAAAAATTATCCAAACAACCGAGTAAAAAGTTAAGACTTCGGGAACATTTCCCACATTTTCAACAAAAATAAATAAATTAATTAATTAATTAAAAAAAATCGTCAAACCGGCCAGTTAGGCGCCGCAGAGGAGGCCGCCGAGGCCATTCCTCGCGGTGGGAGCGGAGGCCGCCGAGACCATTCCTCGCGGCGACCTCCCACCGCCTAGTACCTAGGCGCCGATTAATCGGCACCTAGGCACAATTTTTGCAACACTGCTCAGTGGCCAATGCCCACTTGCCTGCCTAGTGAAGTTTGAGTCCTTCAAAGGAATTATAAATTATAATTGTGCGCAACAAATCAAAAAACAGAGCATAAATTTTTATTTTTTTTTTTAAAAAAAGGCAAACACGGTTAGAACCGACGTCCGGCTATTCAGAACCGGAACCGTGATCACTTCTACATATAATGTGTATTTGTCAATGTTACAAATGAGCAAAAGGCAGTTGATAACTTAAATAATTAAATTAAAAAGAAAAAGCAATTGAAATTCTACAATAGAACAAGTTGTAACCAGTGAAAAGGACGAAATCGCTATGATACAGATGTTTCAATCCAAACGGACAATTCAAGATAAACAGGTAGACAACTCAACTATTTTCCATGCAAACCCTTCCCAAACACAACACAGAATTGAGGAGAAAAACACATAGCATGAAATCAACCAAAATTTGGAACCGATCAAAATTTTTCTAAAGACTCCTAAAACCAAGCCAATAAGAACACCAACTCGCCACTTGGTCATCCCATTTTTTGGGACCAATCATGAAAAGCAACTGCTCACTGCTGCTTGCACTCGGGAGGCTTCTCACCCTCTACTGCAGCTGCTCTTCCAGTTTTCTGTTATTTGGTATAATTTAAATGATCAGGGGTGCACCACATAATGCAAATGATAGATCAACATGGGAAGGGATAGAATGATTCAGAAACAAAACTATATGACATACCTTGCGAGTACCAAATGGCTGCATAAAATTTCAAAGGGTAAAATGGTTAGCGACTTATTATATACCATTAACAATATTTTCTTTTCAATTAAAGAATTTTATTGCAAACACAAGAAGAAAAACAAAGACAAAGGAAAGACCTAGACCCGACCCTCAAAGAAATGGAAACAAACCCACAACAAAAATAACTATAAGTTTTCCTTTCACCCTTCTATCCTTGACGAAAGGGAAAAGAAGGCTTATAGCGACCTGGGGAAGATAACCCCAACCGTCCTCCAACATCATCATAGACATCATCAAAAGCTGTGTCTATTTCCTGCTCCTCATCCGATGAATAAAGTGAAATGTCATTACACTCCAAGTGCCTTGGACTAATAAGGCCCCTATACTCCAACCAATCACCGGTTGCAGCAATTGCACAAGTTGTGTCCCTAACCTTGACATTGGCTACCAGGGAAGAAAACTTTATTAGGTTTACCTTTTTCTCGTCTTCATCTTCATCTTCTTCCTCATCCTCTTCGTCTTCATCATCTTCTTCGTCTTCTTCCTCATCATCTAATTCATATTCATCATCCTCACAGGCTTCCCCAGTGAACCAAGACACTGCATGTGGAATTATTTTTTCTCGAATAGTTGACCTGCATAAAGCCACAGATAAATAGTTAGCACATTGTTACCACAAAGGGCTGAAAATATGTAGAAGGGTTCAAGCAGAAATCAAATACAGGACATTGCACCAATTGAAACAAAAGTAAAAGTATCGACACTGTTAACAGTTCCACTTCTATTTGCTTCATTTGTAATTCACATCAGAAGAGGAAGATTATCACCATTGGAAAAAGTAGTCACCAGTTCAAGTTAGACTTACCCAATTTCATAGTCCTGTTCCATCAAATTCTGGAGATCCTCTGCCTGTACTCAAAAACATGAAGGAATTATATCAAAAAAAAAAAAAAAATTAGGAAGAAACAACAATAATCAAACACAATGATGCAGTTCCTACAGCATCTTCATCAATGTCATTTTCATCCTCTGGCACTTGAGGTGGACAAAAGAAGTTGAAGAAACTTTCACACTGTTCAGTTTTAGTGATAGGTTTCACATTCTTGGATCCCTTCTTAGGCTTTTTCTTCAGGATCTTCTCTGTCAAGGATTTTCCAGGATACCATTCTATCTCAGTCCTGCAGAGTGCAGAGTACACATACCATTAAAAATTAATACAAAATCAATGTGAATGGATCTGGGGATAAGCCAACATGTACATAATAACAAAATAAATCACTTTAATCCTTACCTTCCTTCAAAAGCAAAGGCAAAGGAAAAGGATATAGAGATTGGTGATTAACAAACAAGGAATAACAATGGGTAAGTGAACAAAACACTGCTGGATGAAAACTTACCCTATTGCTTTCTCTAGAACTGGGTCATCTTCATCAATCATGTGATATACTTTAGTCAAAACAGAGTTCTTGAAGTATGGATTAGTGTCAAAGAAAAATTCAAGCTTAAAACCCTTTGGTTCATCAATTCTGGACCACTTTATGTCTTTCAAATATTTGAGAGCCCCTTCATCACGCTCAGTAATCTGGCAACAATAAGAATGTAAGTACACTATACAATGTAAGTGCATCCATCAAATTGCCATGAAATATGGCGGAAACAAAGCATGCTTTCTGTCAACAACATCTAACCTCTTCAGCTAACACTACACTATTCTTCATAGCAGTAAGCCAGAAATCAGGGACTCCCTTCTCTGCATCCAGATAGAAAATCAATAATAGAAATTACAGTAAAGAAACAAAGTCCAGGTGAACATTATAACTTACCCACAGCAGCTTCACCCTCTTCTTGAACTGCAGCTGATTTTTCAGATTTATCCATTTCAACTTCAGCAACTCCATTTACAATTTCATATCTCTGTTTTATAGCCACAAGATTGTTAGCAGATGAAACATTATGGATGCATAACTTGCAAAACATCCTTACAAGTTACAGAGTTACAGACCTTTGTATATAGTGGTTGATAAAGCTTCTGGTACTTAGCTTCAAGTGCAGCCCTCTCTTCATTGAATTTTGCCTCCAGTTCATCATGTTGAGTCTGAACAATAAAACAATAAAAAATGAAATTAGAAAAGGATTCAACACCTCAATTATAATTGGAACTCAGTTTGTATTGCTCAAAGATATCAAAAAGCTTAAATCAACTGATCACATAGGGAAACAGAAAAATAAAATAACAAGTAGAATAATTTTATTTTTAAATGTGAACAGAAATAGCATATAGCAGGTCATCTGCACCAACACGTTCTAATTATCAGAAACAGATATCAGATTTAAGCTATTAAATTAATTGCATTTTCATGCTAGTTGATCCATTAATTAATTACACATAAAATATTCCTAGGCAATTATATAATAATGATAATCAAATATTCAGAGGCAGAAAGAAATCAGTGTATGATACACACATCTGAATTCAATTACTTATTTCCCTATAAGATAGTGAATTCAATTAATCTTGTATAATCTTATCAACAGCCTATGTAACCCTTATACTGGAAAACAAGGATTAGAGCAAATTCAACATTCCACAAATTAGAAGCTCAACATGTTAGCACCACCAGGCAAGAAATCAGTAACAGTTTTACATGCCTGAACCTCCCTGAGAACCTCAACACGCTTTCTGACATTTGGAGACAAGTTCTCAAGCACAACTGAGTGCTTCCCAGTAAGATCCTGAAGCTTATTCTGCAAAATTCACACGACAGGAAAACTCAATCAGAAGCTAAACCCTTCAGTTAAAATTATTCCAATAGCCCCAACCACACCGAGTATGAAGGTTAATATATGTATGTAAATAAACAAAATATCGCCAAAATAAACAGGAAACGAAGTGGGAAACAAAAAGCCTTACTTTGAGAGCATTGACGAGGTCAGCTCTGTCCTCTGGATTCAAAGATACACAAAACGCAAACCAGTAAGCCAAAAATTACTTCGTAATAATAAATAATTACACCTTAACAACAATAATATAAGCTCAACAAATTATATCAGAATTCAAGCAAGTACATTAACAATCACATATCCACTAGTTCACGATCATAAATGTTATCGTATCATATATGCATGAGTATGGTATGCGTGAAGGTTTAAGCGGATTGATTTTTACCAGCAGTGAGATCGGACATATTGGAGTTTTCCTGGGCGCCGGTCATGGCTGAAGAAGAGAGTAAGAGGGATAAAAACCTTAAACCCTAGCGAGAAAAGTGAGGAGGAAAAGAGAGAGAGCGACTAGATTTAGGGCTCTTTCTTCTTGCTCGTTTTGCTGTCTCCTTCCGCCTCTAAAAACCTAGTAACTGGAGAGGTGTATATATAGAGATAGCAAGTCAAATGGAAGTGTTTTCGTATCTCGGAATATCCAATCCCTAGTTACTGTATCATTTTCATTTTTATTTTCTTTTCCTTTCTTTTTCAGTCCTTTCCCAATTTTAACGCTTTCAAATTTTGATTTCAAACGAGAGTACGACTCTACGAGAGTAATTTTAATTGTTAATTGGCTTTTTTTTGTTTGAAAGGAAGGTCATCATACTATTTTATAACGTGTTTGGAAGCGGATAGATACATGAAGAAGCGGGAAAGAAAGAACAATAAGTTTACAAAGAAAGAAATATCAACTATATAATGTATAATAGTAGCCAAAATCGTATCGTTGGATAGCAAGAAGTTGAGAGTTGTTAGCAACCAGTAGACAATGATGTTTTGGGTGGTGATTGGTGAAGCAGTTAGCTTGTTCAGACGGCATCGTTTCATTATTAGCTTGTTATTGCAACTGTTATTTGTAGAGGGGTTTATGGGAGTATGAGGGGTGGTATAGTGCAAACAACCTTAAGGATCATGCTTGACGATTGAATAAAATTTTCATTTATTCTCTCTCAAATTCTCTCATTTCCTCTTGGTTCTTCTTCATTTGTCATGTAAATCTGTTGTGGCAGTCAAGGTATTGGACCTAGCCCGAAATGTTCTTGGTCGGAAGGAGTCAAAACAATTAACGCAGTAAAATAGTAACGGTAAGAGTCAAGTAGATAACATGTGAAATATGAACAGATACTACATTGTAATAGAATCAGTAGCATTCAAAAAAGATAACATGTGGAATGATGCACTAATTCAGAGTCCAATGCACTTATTAGAGGATTGTCTCATCAAATAGCGTGAGTTATAGAGGAGAGCGCACAACAATTACTAAGAAGCCACGACACTTATGAGGGGAGTCATTGCACTTATTAGGAGGTCGTTGTACCCATTATAGTAATTGTTACCGTTGTATGGTATAAAAGTTGAGCCCATGTAACAACAAAAGGGACACGCTCTAAAATTTATACTCGAGCTATATCAATACAATTTGTCTCTGTTTACGTATACACAAATATTCTAATGTACCATTATTACCGTCAATTGGTGCTTTCATTGAGATTTTGGGGTCAACTCTCAAGCAAGCTAAACACTCCATATTTCTCACCATACAAGGTTGGAGATGGCACGGTCTGGATCAAGCAACGTTCATGGTTCCCGCACCCTCAATCTCAATGGAAACGCTAGTGGACGCGCCTGATCGACGAACTCACGTGACCTCCACGACCAACCCAGCAACAATCGTGGTAGAGGACAACAATGTGCATGGCACTGGTTTCGCCTGTAAACCTCTATGCAACTACCCAAGTCATTCAGCATGCAGTAGTGGCACTAACTCAATTGCTGATAGAGATGTAGGACCAGGTTCCCCACTATCGGCGCATGAAGTTGAGGTGTTGTCACCGTAGTGGGAGAGAACCCAACGGCGAGGAGGAGCACGTGCAACGGACAGCTAACCTCCGGCCATGACCAACGTACGGAAGTAAGGGATGAAGCCTGAAGGTGTTCAAAATGGAGGGTTGACTGAATGATCTACTAGTTCTAAGTCCATCCTGGAGTAGTTGGGCGAGAGGGCGCCGATATTAGAGATGTTAGTGCCACAGCTAATGGGTCAAGGGGCCATCTACCAAGGGACCACACCATGACATAACCAATGCATTGGATGAGGGAGAGCAGTCGCTACAATTATAAAGGGTAGGTGAGTTTGGTGAGCGTTGGCCTGCCTTGCAAGGGCGAACCCCAAACGTGCATGGGAGGTGGTAGAGCAGCTGTAGAAGAAGATAAAGGAGCTAGAGAATAAAATGGCGATGACGTGCATGGATGGGACATGTTGGTTTTATGACTTTTGGGTAGTCAACGTCTGGCCAATACAACAGTTAAAATAATGAGTATATAGTAAAAATATAAAGAGAATATATGTATTTTGTATTAATGAACATTGCTTGTGAATAGTGAAAATTGCCTCCATTTTCTCATGTATGTATAGGGGTCTATATATACATGTTTTGGGCTATGAGTCCTATAAGGAATAGAAATCTTAGACTATCTCATATTGTGAATCATTGTTACATTAGAAATACTAAACCCTACTCCTATTACATTAAGAATAATGAGTTCAATCCTTATTACATTATGAATAATAAATTCAATCCTTATCAAATTTCTAAGTTGCTCAATATCATTATTGGCCTTCCTTGATCCAATTACTTTCTTGGTCCGGTCTATGTAGTCCAAGCCCAATTTATCATCCATCATCCAGCCCCCACTTTCTTAAGATTTCGTGAAGTCAATGCCTCAGGAAAGTATCTCAAAATTATTCTCCGACTAGCTCTCTAATTCTAATGATCCCATCCTTGACTTTATTTTGGGCACGACATTCTTTTTTCTTAAAATGATTTATTTTGGTTTGATGTTATTTAATTTATATTTATGTTATTTATCAAATTAAATCATTCATGGTGGGATTTCTCATAAACTATATTTCTCGTCTATCGTTTATAAATTATTGGACAAAAAAACTAGAGTGGATATATTGTTAAGATTATTAAGCATGACTAACGTCACTCGATATAATGAATGAAGGAAACAAGATCATTAATTGTAAAGGGGATCAAGCAATCAAACCTTTGACTCGAGCCTATGTATGTATCGATGTATTTCATTCTCAACAATGCCCGAATCAATTCTTCCATTCATTACTAACATGACATTTAGTAGACCGTAATTGCAATTATTTTTCAAATGTAATTCTTTGACATGCAATTGCATTGTTTGGTTGGAGGAAATTACAATTCTCTTATTTTATGGGATTGAAATTCATATGTCATCTCCCATGAATTTCGATTCGACATCAAATGAAAAGGAAAAAATGACAAAATTATCCTTAAACATTATTATTAATACACAAACATTTTAATCTTTATATCTCTTATTATTCCCTTTCAATTCCAAGTAATTCTAGTCACTATGAGGCAAAAGCGATTGATGATTCTTAATTACGATCTATTCCTCTTGAAATAATTAGCATTATTATGTGTATGATCAATCATGATTCAAGTCTATTACTGCATTTATCATCATACTCAAGATACTCACTTACAACTTGCCTTAACATGTGTCCCCATTAGCCACCCTGTAACGACTAAATATTCTAGATTATGTATAAATATAAATACTACTGAGTAGTTCATTATTATTATACTATAAATCCAATCTTTGATGATTTATGTTAACATCTCCAGGTTAATAAACTGATGTGTAATAAATAATACTGTAGCATATAGCATGGTTTCCTAGCATATTGCAAAAGAGATTATAAGGTTGGTGATGATATATTACAGTTTACTTACAAACACAGTACATTACTAATTCAAAAATCAATCATTATTATGTGGACCATAATCCACGTAACTGTGTGGACCACACTATCAAATAATATACTTTTTAATATATTAAAAATGTAAATTATATTCAAAGAAAGTACATTATTTGAGTAATGAAAGTACATTATTTTGTAAAAATGTACATTCAATACACGAATAATGTACTTTTAATATATTAAAAATATATTTTTTGTTATGGTCCACACAGCACTATGTAGACCACGGTCCACACAATGATTTGCCTTCAAAAACAGAACAAGAGAAAATAAAGCAATAAGCTGTAAATGCAGGAATCACCATGCAATAACATTAACTTCTGCTAAAATGTAGGGAAGACATCAATCCCTGCTTCAAATGAAAACTCATCACAGTATTGCAGATTTTGTATTCAAAACAAGAAATTTGCACCACTTATTGTAAATGAGAAAAGAAAAGGAAAACAAACACCAAAAGGGTGAAAAATGCTTTTCACTAGCTGCACTTGAATTCTAAAAACAGAAGTACATCTTTTAGGATGGCCCAATCTTTTGATTTTCAGGAATAGATTACAGACCCATATCCCATGGCAACCTTAAGATTTTGGAGTTTGGACTAGATATCATAGCAAAATTTTAGTTTCCATCCTCTTCACTAGCTACAGGGGAAGCTTGTTGATCATTTTTAGAGTTCTCAAATGTCACATGCCCCGTCATAGGATCAACCTGACGATTGTCTCGAGGTCCACCTTTTCGTCCCATGGCCATCATTGGTGGTGGTGGCAACAAGCCTGCTCTAAAGAGAAGACGCTGAACAGGATCCGATGGCTGTGCACCAACTGATAGCCAGTATCTATATATGGGCAAAATTAGCAAATTCCACTATAACACGTTCTAATTATGATGAGGATTCAAAATACAGAACAAAATGTTTGGAATAAGCATTTTGCAGAAAATACAGTCATACACGGTCACAGAATAACCTAGTTGCCATTTTGCATTGTGTTTTCACACCAGTATTTAAGAACAGACCAGAAATTGCATTTAGAGAAAGCAAGTAGCTACATAAAACTGGGATATTTGTGTGTTTGTCTTAGGACTGCCAAGCACTATCAGATCACTACAAAATTCATAATTATTTAAATTGTCCCATTTACAATCAGAATGAAATTTCTTTGTTCTCAATTACCCGACACAAAACTATGAAGCCGTTTCCAAGGAATACATAAATAGTGTAAAAGCCCATTGACTATAATGTTAATGCCTCCCAAGTCCCAAATCAATGGTTTTATGCAAGATTGAATTAGTTTTCTTCAATATGTAAATGTAATTTAATTTCTCATATCTGATCCTTCTCTTTCTATGCAAAGCTTTTAGATGAACCGATAAGTCAGAATAAGAGGGCATGTGAACAAGTAAAAGGAAACCAACTTACTTCACCCGTTCAAAATTAAGACCCATTCGTTTCCCACCATCTTGACCTGAATAAAGCATATAATGAAATATTAGAAACTTAAAATCTATTGCAATAATAAAGATCATACAAGAACAGATCAAAATCCAAAACAAGTGGTTAGTGATCACTGATCATTTATG